GCGGCGGCGCTCTGGGCGCTGATTGGCCGCCGGGCAGCTCGGGGCCGTGGCCTGGCTTGGCGCGGAGCCGCGCGATTGGCGGAGGCGGCGGGCGGAGGAGCCTATGGGGCGCGTGGGCGGGGCTAGTTCGGGCCGGTGGCGGGAAGTGAGTGAGAGCGAGAGCGCGCTGGGAGCTCGGCGCGGAGCGGGAGCCGGGGTGAGAGGGGCCCGCGGTGCCGGGTGGGGGAGGGGTGAGGATGGGGCGCGGTGCCGGGTTGTGGGGGTTTGCGGTGTGGTGCTAGGTGGGGGAGGGGCGCGGTGCTTGGGTGGGGGGGGAAGTGGGGGAGGGGTGATGGGGCGGGGGTGAAGTGGGGGGTGTGTGTGGTGGCGCAGTGCCTGGTTGTGGGGGCTGGGGGAGGGGTGGAGGTGTGGTGCCAGGTGGGGGAGGGGTGAGGATGGGGTGGGGGGGGCGTGGGAAGTATTCACGTGGAGTGGGTTCTTGGCTGAGTCCCATGGCTCCAGCCCGCTCCTGTGCAGGGGGTCGGCTGGGGGTGTGTGCGTTTCCTATCTAGCTGCTGAGTCTCCCCCCTTCCCCGCCCAGCGTTGCGAGGGGGCCGTTGCCCCTTATGGGGAGGGGATGATTCTGAGGCCAGCGGTTTCCCTGCCCCCCAGGTATCCGTGTGGCAGCCATGCCCAGCACCAGGTCGCAGACCCAGGCCGCTATCGACTTCCCCCGGAGGAAACAGCCCAGGACGCCCGGCGCGCCCACTGCGGGTTGCAAAGATGCCCCATCGAACCCCACCAGGGTGACCCTCCTGACGCTCTCACCCCGGGAAAAGGTCCTGCCGCTGAGCCCCCGCAAACGCCTAGGTGAGGTACTGCCAGGGGACTTACCCTGCCCCCCACCTCTTGCAGGGCCAGAACCCGAATGAGAGTTCAGGGTTCCTGGCTCCCAGCCCCACACTTGGCGCTCACCGTTCCCACGGGCGCTACCAGACTGTTCCCTACACCCCACAGACAGCAGGCCTTTCTTTTCCTTTCCACCTGAAAAAAGGAGGCACCATGATTGCTAAATGCCTGAGAATTGGGCCTTGTTTCTTGGGTAGCAAAGAACTACCTGGTTAGTCACCCTCGCAGCCCTCTGGGTGTGGTGGCAAACGCCCAGGCCATGGGCCAAGTCCAGTTCTCTTGGGATAGATATGTTGCATCTCATATCCAGCATCTAAGGGCTTGTCAGCGCTAGAAATTTTTGCCCCTTTAACTATGCCAGTATAGTTAGAGTGGTGCAAGCCTCCTAATGTGGATGCAGATGTAAGGCACCTCTACACTGGTGCAACTGCATCCACACAGAAGCTTAGACCTGTATAACTATGTCAGTAAAATGTCACACTCCAAACTGACATAATTATATTGGTAACACTTTTATTTCCAAACACGCCCTGCCCCCCACCCCCAAATCCCTAAGAGCCTGTCAATTGTGAACTGAGTGTAACTAAGGCAGTACTGACTCGGGTCTCTAGACCGCCTGGACCAAGGGTTCGGAGAGGTGTCCATTCCCCACTCCACTCATCACTGAAATATTCACTCTAGGACCTTAAGATTATTTTAGTGGGTGGAATAGGGAAGTGGGAGTGGACCCCAGGGGTGTGGAGGTGGGACCTAGGATTGCCAGGCGTGGGGCCGTTAAAAGTCTGATCAACGGCGCAGTGGGACAAGGCAGGCTCCCTGCAGCTCCTGGAAGCAGTGGCATGTCCTCCTGCTCCTATGTGTAGGGACAGCCAGGGGGCTCTGCATGCTGGCCCCATCCCAAGCAACAGCTCTGCAGCGCCCATTGGCTGCCCCTCCGCCTAGGAACCGGAGTGGGGGACATGCTGCTGCTTTTGGGAGCTGCTTGAGGTAAGCACTTCCTGGAGCCTGCACCCTGACCCCCTCCTGCGCCCCTGCCCGAGCCCTGATCCCCTTCCTGCCCTCTGAACCCCTTGATCCCAGCCCAGAGCACCCTCCTTCACCCCACCCCCTGCATCCCAATCCCCTTCCCCAGCCCAGAGCCCCCTCCCGCACCCTGAACCCCTCATTTCTGGTCTCACACTGGAACCTGCACCCCAGCCAGAGCATGTACCCCCTCCCACACCCCAACCCCCTGCCTTAGCCCGGAGCCCCCTTCCACACTCTAAACCCCTCAGCCCCAGCTTGGAGCCCACTCCTGCACCCCAAATCCCTCATCCCCAGCCCCACACCAGAGCTTGCACCCCCAGTCAGACCCCTCACCCGCTCCTGAACCCCAACCCCCTGAGCCAGCCTGGTGAAAATGAGCAGACGGAGGGAGTGGAGGATGGAGGGAGTGGGGGTGGGGCAGGAGTTTTTGGTTTTGTGCAAGTAGAAAGTTGGCAACCCTAGTGGGACCTAGGAGTTGCTGCAGGGCAAAGAGCTCAGAGAAGGGGGAGAGGAAGATGGGGAAGGAAGGAAACAGGGCGGGAATGGTGCTGTTCCTAAAGGGGAACACATTTTTCCCACTAAGTGATGATGAACATGACGAGACACTGAACAAACAAGCCAAGGTGGCTGAGAGCTTAGTCACCACATAAATGCTGTTCCACTTTTGATCTGTGCCAGCCTCCCATTGACATCAGTGGGAGTCTGCTGAGGTCAGAAATGATACGTGGTCTTCAATGGAAACCACTGCCCAGGGATTGCAATGGAAGCGTTAACCCTGTGTTAGAGCCAGCAGGCTTCTCCTGGGCTCTGTAGACTAAGCGAAGTTCCCCCTCCCTGAGGTCAATGTAGGATTGTTCTATTGTCTTATGAAGGATCCCAAGCAACAGATGAAACTGTTCCTCGGGAGGCTGGCCCACAGCTGGATCGGTCTGTCTCAGGGAGCTTTTGCTAATATTGGGACTAATTTCCCCTTGGCCCATTAATTGTAGTCACCACCCCGGGTGCCATTCTAAATTTCTCGTGGGGTTGAGGTCCTAGCCTGGCTTTCACAGCATGCCCTGACCCTGCAATGTAAGTTGGTCACCTTCCTCCAGCCATTTACCTCTCCATTGGCCACTGCTACTTATTGAACTTGGCGCTTCTCCCTCCTGCAGGCGATGACAACCTGTGCAACATCCCCCAGTCGCTGCCCTGCTCCCCGACGAAGCAGAGCAAGGGGGAGAATGAGCTCCCGTCTGCTTCTCACAAGGGGCGACGCTTGTTCTTCAGCGAGCAGCCAACGACTGAGTCTCCTGGCAAGAGGAACAACTTGGTGCCGTCCCCGCTCCACAAGCGGCAGGAGACCCCAAGAAGCTCTGAGCGCTCTTGTCTCAACAAGCAACCTGTGTGCATCCAGCTGTTCAGGCAGGAAGGTAGGTGTTGATGCAATGTCTGGTGGAGAACAGGCCCCAGGGCACTTCCGCATCTTTCTCTGATGTGTCTCTCTATCTGGCATAGGCACTTGTTATCAGCAGGCGAAGAGCGTTCTGCACACAGCTGTCCCTGACCGGCTTCTTGCCAGGGAGAAGGAGACTGATGCCATCAGGCAGTTCCTGAAAGAACATGTCTGTGGGGAGAAACCTGGCAGTCTCTACATCTCCGGTGCTCCTGGCACTGGAAAAACTGCCTGTCTGAGCAGAATCCTGCAAGACTTCCAGGTATGGCTGTGGTTGGAGGTTCAGACACCTGTCTCAAATGCTCTGTTATGGATGTCAGCGTCTCTGCTGTAGCTACAGCAGGAACATGCCTACCTGCTATAAGCCCCGTGTACCCCCTACCTTTGGCAAACAAAATCTGGTCCCCCTGAGATCTTTCTTGGGTGATCTTACGTGGGATGGATTTTCCTGGGACGTTTGAGGCAAATCACACAGGTGGTTTGGAGCATACAGGGAAGGGAGCAAACAGTGGGGTGACTTTGCTTCTCAGGTCCCTCCTTAAGGCTGCTCTTCTGGTTCACCACAGCTCAAACGCTTTGGCCTTAATGCTTCATGTTTGGTTTAATCTGCCATCCCCAGTCAGCATTAGCACCTCTGATTACTGGAGTTTGGGCATCTTGTAGCTCCATGTATGTGCAGAGCAATCTACGAACGCTTACCCTGGTCCCTGTCCTGCGGTGCGTAGTCTGGTTCAGGCAGTTAAATGCAGTGCATGTGGAGGGGGAATAACGAGAGAGAGCATGTGCTTGGGGCAGAGTGGGGTTTGAGGAGGAGATGGTTGAGGGCGTTTCCTTAAGAGAGGATGCCATGAGAATCCGAGTAGGAGAGCGGAACTCGGAGTAAGTCTGCACTAGATACACTCCAGCTGCACCACGGTAGCGTAGACTCTTCCTACAGCGATGGAAGGGCTTTAGTTAGTCCATGTCTCCGAGACGCGGTAGCTAGGCTGGGGGAAGAATTCTTCCCCTGCCCTAGCACTGTGTACACGGGAGCTTTGCTTGGCTTAATTATGTCTCTTGGGGATGAAAAATTCATCCACGAGTGATGTAGCTAGCTTGATCTAAGGCGATGGCTATCCTACAGAGCTTAAAGCAGCGCAGCTAATGCAGGTGCTCTATGCCAATGGGGGAGAGCTCTCCTGACAACTTCATTACTCCAGCCCTTGTGAACGGTGGTAGCTCTGTTGGCAGGAGAGTCTTCGTCGACGTAGCGCTGTCCACACTGGCGCTTAGCTCAGTGTGACTTACATTGCTTCGGGGGGGTGGGGGTGGCTTATTCACATCCCTGAGCAACATAACTTCTCCCGACTGAAGTTCTAGTACGTGCAGAGTGAGTTCTAGGTGTAGACCAGGCCTGAGGCCGAGGGACATAAGGGAGAGAGAGAGGGAGACACCTTGAAAGTGAGGGTGGGAGGCATGAATTTGCTGTGATTATGCTGGGGGATTGGTGCACTGGGAAAGGGAGATGGCTGCTAGCCGGTCTCTGCTCTCGACCGACTACCAAAGCCTGGGTCAGCTGAGCTGCGTTGTCCTTTGCTTGGCTCGCCTGAGCCTTTCCCGGGTGCAGGACGGTGCGTGGGAAGGGATCTGAGCTGTGGCTTGCTGGCTCTCTAATTCTCCCTTTTCTCCCCGTGGCAGAATGAGCTCCCGGGCAGCAAAACCATTGTCCTGAACTGCATGTCCCTCAGCAGCTCCCAGGCCGTGTTCCCAGCCATAGCTGAGCAGATGGGCCAGCAGGGGGCGTCCAAGGTAGCTGGGAGAGACTTGGTGAGGAAGCTGGAGAAACAGCTGACAGCAGAGGGGATGCCCATGACGTGAGTACTGTGCTCTGAAACGCTCCCAAAGTGCTGTGAGCCGCTCCGTGTGACCAGGCCAGCGGCTGGGCCTGTGTGATAGCTGTGTTCCCAGCCACGATTCCCCTAGTCATTGCAGCTGGTCGGTGCCTCTCCACACCCAGGTGCTGAGGGCTTGATTTTCCAGAGGTGCGGCGCACCGCCAGGGGCAGGGGAAGTCAGGGTGGGATGTGGGCGCTTGGCATCGTGGAAAAACCAGGCCCTTATTTTGTTACGAAGCACAGGCTGTGTCAGGGAAGGGTTGCCTGCCTCTGCCATGCCCCGAGCGACGGGGGGGATTGCCTGGCCATTCCTCAGCAGGGGCCGGTTAATCTCCTTGCCCCCAGGGCAAAGCCTCGGTGCTGAGCTGGGCTTTCTTTCCTGCCTTTGCATAGCGTGCTGGTGCTGGATGAGATGGACCAGCTGGACAGCAAAGGACAGGACGTGCTCTACACAGTGTTCGAGTGGCCCTGGCTCATTGGCTCCAGGCTTGTCCTCATCGGTAAGTGTGTCAGTTGTGCCGTGACAGTGCTTTGGCCTGGTGCTGCCGTTGAAATGCCCGGTGGCTGCAGAAGCTCTGTGTGGGAGTGCCCTGAGGGGATGGCACATACCCATCCTCCTGCAGGAGGTGCCCTGGCATTTTCCTCTTGGAGAAAGCCGGGGAAGATTATGAAGCTGGCTTCTGGCAACAGAAATCAGTCTAGTTACTGTAGCAAACCTATCCCCTGATGGGTGCATTAAAGACTGTCCTTGCCCAGCCCCAGGATGCATGATCAATGCAGAGCCTTGCACACGATTCTCTGACCCTGGAAGATTTCCCCACTCCCTGTTAGCCCAGGCTGCCGTTCTCAATAGCCTCAATGTGCTTCGCAGGAGTGGCCAACGCCCTGGACCTCACGGACCGGATCCTGGCCAGGCTACAGGCCCGGCCCAAATGCAAACCCCAGCTGCTAAACTTCCCACCTTACACAAAGGAGCAGATTGCCTCCATCCTGCAGGAACGGCTGAGACAGGTAAGAACCCAGGGGCCAAGTCCACATGGGCTCATCCCCTTCTCTGGGGGAGAAGCTTAGACTCCTGCGTTGACATTGGCCTCTGTGAACGAGTCCACACAGAGATCTGGAACCACGAGAGCGTCTTTCTGGTGCTGTCTTGAAGAAACTTTGTAGTTGTAGCTGGCTGATATTGCTTATTAACTGCAGCATAGCACTCTTCTGCAATGCTGGCTTCTGTGAGAGATTGCTCGCTCTGTCTCCAACCCTGCCACTTCCCACTGAGCTGGTGGCAGAAGGGACAGCTGGTGACTTTCCACAAGCAGGTCAGTCATTGGCATAGGCTCAAGCCTAATGCAGGCATGGCTCCTGCTCTGTTGTGATGACCCCCCTTCCTTGGAGGGAACAGAGTCCAGGCTGTTGGGAATCCCATTCTCAGTGGCATCCCTGGATCCTCCAGACTCTGGGGGCTGGAGGTGAGATCTTAGCCATGATGCAGTGAGTTATGCACTCTGTCTTCCCAACACAGGTGGGAGAACTTCCCAGGTGCAGTGGGGTGCGTGACACAATCCACATGCATCTAGCCAAATGGGCTATTTTCTGTCTGAACCGTATTGGACCACCTGCGGCTTCTGCAGTGGAGACCTCTCCATAACTGCCCTGTGCTCCATTCTCTCGGCAGGTGTCTGGCGCTCAGGTCTTGGACAGCACTGCCATCCAGTTCTGTGCCCGGAAAGTCTCTGCCGTTTCGGGAGATGCTCGCAAGGCGCTGGACGTATGCAGGTAAACGCTGCCGCCTCCGAAGGCAGGCTCCTTACCCAATGTCGTTTGAGCGAGCGTGACTTAAGGCTCCATTATGCTGCTGCTTCCCTGGCGTTGAAAGGAGGGCTTGCATCGCTGCAGGAGCGCTGCCTCCTGACCATGTTAATGTCTGAGACGTTCGCAGCCCATTACCTATGGAGGGTGAGACAAGGCGCTGCTGCCAGCCCTTCCCGCTGTGACTAGAGATTGGTTAATTACATTTGTATTGCAGAAGGCCCCATTAGCAGCTCTCAAGCAGGTTTCTTTATGAAGCTGAACCAGTTTTTCCTTCAGAATTTTTTTCCCCTTCCTGTTCTTCCTTTCTGGGGCTGTTCTCCTCCAGTTTCATTATAGGCAGGACTTTTCTACCGCACTGGGGACTCTTCCTTTGTTGGGGCACATCTCCTCCAGAAAGGGGTGTCAGTTAAGCCTGTGCCAAAGGGCACATTCTGGACTAACCCATTAGCTGGGGCGTCCGCACCAGCTCCAGGACAGTTGCCATCCTGAGCGGGGAGTATGGCAGAAGCAGGGCTGTCCCAATAGGAGAATGGCTGTATTGGAGGGACATTGGCCACCAGTTGGGGCTGGGAGGGACTAGGAAAAACTTACACTAGAAACAAACAACAGAGGGTCCTGTGGCACCTTTAAGACCTGTTAGTCTTAAAGGTGCCACAGGACCCTCTGTTGCTTTTTACAGATTCAGACTAACACGGCTACCCCTCGGATACTTTACACTAGAAACAACTCATGACTGCTGGAAAAGTCAGGTTGCTCCCCCCGCCCAGATCTGAACCTTGCCCTGCTCTGCTGGCCACCCAAACGCTGCATCATCTTGCCAGGCACGTAGTGGTTCTCTTGCTTCCTGTAGTGGCCCACTTCTTAAAATCAAATGATTTCCTGGGCACCTCATCTCCCAGCCTCCATCCATCAGTGACCCTGCAGTAACTAGGGGATTTTGTCTCATTAGGGCCATGTTTAGAGATGAAAATGAGCTCCTGTTAATGGGTGTGCGCTGCTGTTTGCATCCCACAACTTCTGTGTTCGTGCTGGTTTAGCTCCTCTCCCTGGGTGCAGGGCTTATTACTTGCTGGCTGTGATACTGCCCGCCCGGGAATGCTTGGGAGTTTGGGTCCAGCCTCCTGAGGGGGGAGGGGGGGGAAGTTGGTGCCTAAAAAGTGATCACAGCTGAAGGAGAGGCATGACCCACAGAGGCATGACCCAGGCTACAGCTAGCAGCCCTGCTTGGAGACCAATGGGTGCCCTGTCGTTGTTAGGGGACCATTCTTTAGTGGGGCAGTCAGGGGGGCTCAGGTGTGGGATGTGCCTAGGGGATAAGGACTTGACCTGAGTGCATGCGAACCCTTCATGTTCCAAGCTGCTCTGTTTCAGTGCAGAGGGGCAAGGATGCTGCCTTCAGGTCTGGGGTGGTTTAGGTTTTGACCAGCCCGAAAGGCTCAGTCTAAAGTAACTTGCATAAATCTGTGTCCTAGGCGAGCCATTGAGATGGTGGAGTTGGATGTGAGAAGCCAGACTGTCTTCAAACCACTGCCTGGCTGTAAGTAGCTGCCGCCAGCCTGAGTCAGGAAGCTCTGCACTCTTGGCTTTTATTTTTCTGTCAGTCTCCTCGACCTTAATTGTAGCCTTCCTTGCCAATGGCGTGTTTTGCGCATTACTGGAATGGAGGTCCCCGAGAGATTGCACAAACGCCTGGCACGCAAGGAGCTTTCCTTCCAGCTCTCTGGAAGCAAAAGCCCTAGATGTGAAGGTCACACCTGCTCTCGTCTCTGGGGCTGGCTTTAACTAGAATGAAAGCACTTAAGTGTAGGTGTGAAATAGCAGCTCGCAAATGGGGGGACAGCGTGGGCGGGAGTTCAGATTGGGATAGTCGCAGTGGAACCTTTCCAAGTGCAAGCTGTGCATAGGGACAGTGTGCTGGGGGGGGGAGATATTAGCACTGTCTCAGACCGTGTTCCAAAGGACTTCAGCCCTTCCCCTTGGATTTTTGGCTGCCGTATGCAGGATGTGCTGTTCTTAGGGGTGGCTAAAACATCCCCCGCTCTTTGGGTCCTCATCGATTTTGTGACCATATATATAGAATATGGTTCTCTCTCCCTCTACTCCTGGTGCTTCAGACTATAGTAAGACGAAGTTTGCTCTAAAAATCCACTTTTCTTTGCACCATTTTATACCACTGGCATTTTGCCCTGCTGTGTCCTAACAGCGAAACTAGATGGATCAGTTTCACTTCCTGGTTCCCACGCACTGGCCCAGGGCTGCAGGATTTGGGTTCCCAGTGCGATGGGGAAGGAAGGGATAGTTACATCCCACTCAAACCCATGGCTTCTGACAACTCGGACTTGACTGGGTTGCCTTTAGCCAGTAGCCAATACACTGGCCTATTTCCTGTCCTAGTGTTGTGTTGCTTCTATATTAATCAAACCCCATCTCCTCTGACTCAGCGTTGTCTGGCCTACAGGTAAATCGCCCGCTACCTCCCCCTCGGCCTCCCCAGTTCCTAGGAGAGTTGGGCTTCCGCACATATCCCGGGTGATCTCGGATGTGTATGGTGACAGGATGGCCCTGGGAAGTGATGGAGCCAGTGACTCCTTCCCCCTGCAGCAGAAGATTCTGGTCTGCTCCCTGCTGCTCCTAGCCAGGCAGCTGAAAGCCAAGGAGGTGACGCTGGGGAAGGTGAGTCAGGCCGTTGGGTTGTACGGCGAGACGAACCTGAGCTCTTTGCCTCGGGCTCCACCCTAGTCCAACAGCAGTAGGTTGGGGGTTGCGACTCCCTGGGAAGGACAGTCTTCTCCACCGGGCAGGTGACGTGGGCCCGTCATGTTTGCTGTCTAGCAAGTCCCCAGGCAGGCGCTCAGAGCGACATTGACGCACTCTGGAGGGGGAATTGGGTTTAGCCACACACCTGGAGATGGTCAGCCCAGGGAGGGGGGGGCGGATGGGGATGGAGGCTTGCTGGCACCTGTGCGTCTCCCTCGCCTGCGTTCAGTGGCTGTGGGTGATGACCGCTCCCTCCCTCCTCTCCCAGCTACATGAAGCCTACAGCAGAGTCTGCCGGCGGCAGCAAATGGCACCCGTAGCCCAGTCTGACTGCCTCTCCCTCGCCACCCTCTTGGAATCCAGGGGCATCCTGGCACTGAAGAAAGCCAAGGAAGCCAGGCTCACAAAGGTACCCCCACAAACCATGCTGCTTTCTCCCCAGGGACAGGCTCCAAAGGGAGCTGCTGCAGAAATGGGGGTGGCTGCGACACTCAGGCCTGACGGGCAAAGGGAGGAGAGCACTGGGAAATGCAGGTTAGCTGGGGAGCCAGCAGGGTCGAGGAGAACCCTGAGGAGGGATGGATAACAGGGGAGAGCTGCCCTGACCTGACAGTCTGGCTCCAGGACTAGAAGGGCTCCCAGACCAGTGACTCTGTTGTGGGGACATTTTAACTCCTGGAGGATCTGACGCCGGCCGCTCTCGGAGGCAGGCTACGGCCGGAAGGCCCCAGTGCTTTGCTCTGGTGGTGGACTAGGTGGGCCAGTGCGCGAGCGGCAGGAGAGCAAGCTATTGCTGGCCAGCTGCACAGGGGCAGTTCCTGTCGGTGCTGATGCTTGTGTGGACCCTGTAACCTCGGGTGAGGGTTTGAGTAGCCTGGGCCGTGCTCATTGGCTCCCACGGATGCTGGGCAGGTCTGTGTAGTAAGGAGCCTTGTCTCTCCTTCAGGTTTCCCTGAAGATAGAGGAGAAGGACGTGGAACATGCCCTCAAGGACGGCGTCTTGATTGGAAACATCTTGGCGGGGGGGCAGCTCTAGACTCCTCTACCTTGATGCCTCTTTTCAAAGGGATGTGGCTCTCTCCGGGTCCTAGACAAATAACTGCCTGGGCTCCGTTGTCCGCGGTAACAACCTTCGCTGAAGGTCACGCTGAGCCATGGCAGTGGAGCGTTTAAAAGGATGAATTTGATCTGCCTTCAGCTCACGACATCTCGTTATAAAGCTGCCTCGTTTGTTTTTAACTGTATCCTTGTTTTTAAATATGCCGCCGGCTGAGGTGGCTAATGCCTGAGTCTGAGACAAAGCCAAAGTGACCCTCCTTGTGGTGGATTTGGAACAGTTTGTGAATGGCTGCAGGCCCTATGCCGAGCCTCTTGCAGGGCTCCATTTCCCTCTTGGATCCAGGATGTTTGCTGGCCGTCCTGACATCCTTTCCCCACAACCTGCACGTACGCCATCATGTTGCCTTTTTTGAACAGCTGGAGATCAAAGGGATGGTGCTCAGGCAGCAAGAGTCTGTTTGGAGAAACGAAACCATTAGCAGCGCGAGAGGCTGCAGGAGGAAATGAGATGGCAGGCGCTGCGCTCCCAACCCAGGCTCCTTTGAAGTCTAGTTATTTCCGCGTAGCAGATGTCGCTCTTAGTGAGGCTTAATGTCTCTGGGGCTCGATCAGGGCTTAGTCTGAAGCCCCGAGGGCTGTGTGTATCTTACTGTTCAAGCTGTGGATACATTTATTCCTACTTGTTTGTGACATTATGAAGAGTCACGTTAGGCCTCTTCCAAAAGACCCAGTTTCTTCTCCCCTTTCCTGTGCGCTAGAAACGAACAGAACATCTGGCTTATGACACCACCCAGCCTGCACCCTGCTCTGCGCATCGGAGGTTCCTAATCTCGGCATTGGTTTTTAATTTGATTCTACTCTTCCCCCTCCCCTGCATCCCTAAGGAGTGACCCACTTCAGACATTGTGATGTATTCGCCCTTGGAGCAAGCTTTCTCCAGCAGGGGGCATTCTTGTAGCACAATGAACCGTGCTTCTTTCGCCTGAAATAAGTTTGTAAAGTTTGAGGAAGCTGTATTGCGTGTGTGAGGCCAAACAGTGTGGGGATTCTGGGCAACCCCTTCTCCTATCTATTTTTAAATTAAAAAGTAACCTCTCTGCGTTGAAAATGACTTACTGTCTGATCAGTGTCATCTGTTTGTAATGAGCCTCTTGTGAGAGCATAGACCAGACTAAAATGTGTGCCAATGCTATGAACGTTGGGCATGTGTTATGTCCCTCCCTAACCTCTGTCCCCCCACATCTCCCAGGTTGGATGGACTCACTCCTGTAGCAGGTGTGTTCTGAAAGGCAGGTGCAAGGACAGAACTCCACTGCGAGATAGGCCCAGCTGTATTTACGGGTTGGGAAACACAAAGCCCCACTCTCTCACTGATGTGCGGCAGTCTCTGACCAGCTCGACGGGCACTTTGAAACTATCCTCCAGTGCTGAGAAGACACGATTACATTTTCTGCAGCTTATGTTAAAAATAATACAGGCTTCGACAAAATCGCAGCTTGCTTCATAGGCCGGCTGTGCCTCCCCCTTCTCCTGGTGCCGTCCTCAAAAGGGGTTCAGTGGGGCTGTGAGACTGATGCTAACATGTGTGGAACCCCTCTGCTATCCCACGGGGTGCACCGATTCTCCACACGCATTGCAGGCAGGGGTAAGCTGCCACCCTGCATGGCCAGTGCAATCAGTGGGTACTGTCTAATGCCCACTGTTTAAATGGAGTGGGATGTGCGGTCCCAAAGCAACCCAGGTTCCTGGCTACTGGAACCCATCTAGGCCCTGTGCTACAAGGAGCTTCTGTGGTGCTGTTCACCTAGTCTAGTCCATTAGCCTTCGCCACACCCATGGCTGCTGGCGAAGATGAGCTGTGGTCTAATAAGAAGCAGGCTCGGAGCAGGATTGAGAACAGATGGGAGCCTTGATTTAAATTGCATTTTATTGGCTGCAGAGACCTTGAGAGAGACGGTTGTTCCTCCAGCTACCGTCCGTGCTGGGTCCCCTGCCAGCTGGGCCAAACTATTAGCAAATTTGCAAAGATGCTGGCAGCGAGATGGGGGTCAGCCAGAGCCACCACAACAGAGACGGTCTTGGGAGCTGCTGTTTCCTCCTTGCCCTCTGCGGCTCCCAGCACCAGCTCCTTGTGCATAAGCTGAAAGCGGAGTTATTTTTAACCACCCCTGCTGCAGCCTCCCAGTGGGATCTGAGAATCCCTCTGGCTCCTCTCCTGGCGTGGGTGGTTGCTACCCAGGATAGAATAGACTCCAGCTTGCTCTCCCCGAGTGGTAATGGCACCTGCAGGGCCTTGAGCATGGGGACTGCTGTCAGGAAAGGCAACAGCTCCTTGCTGCCGCTGATCACTCACTCTCCAGGCTGCAAAGCGGGGGTGGTGTCCATGCAGCATCAGGTCTGTGCTGTGCTCAGGGAGGGGACGGCCCCTGAATCAAATCCTCTGCGTAGAAATTAAAGCCCACCGAGATCTGGCCCTTTCTAAGTGCAGACTTTAATCCCCGTGAGCGAGGACTTCTCTGCTATTAAACGGAAACGGCTTGAGCCGAGCACTTCTAGAGCAGGCCTGCACCTGGCAACGGATGTCAGGAGCAGAGCCAGGTGCCTCTGTGAGTGAGGTATCACACCTACGCTGGAGAAAATGCAGCTGCCTCTTCGCGCTCTCTCCCCCAGTGAAGGTTAGGGGCTGGCCCCAGGTAACTGGCGCAGAGCCGGAGCAGAGCTGGCGAGCAATGGGCTGAAGTGGCATTGATTTCCAGCGGCCTGGCTGCATGTCACCTTGCTGGGCTCAAAGCTACTCTCAGGGGAAAGGGACTGGGGGGTGGAGGAAAGAGTCCATGTTTGTCTGGGGAGCAATGGGGGCTGGCAGGGTGCAGAGAAGAGGGCTGAAATGATCCAGGACACAGACCCCTTTCAAACTTGCCTCTTAGTCATGCCCCCAAATGGGCCCCCTCTGCCCGCTCTCTGTCACTTGGCTGGGCCTGTGCGCAAAACGGGCTCGTCCGTTTGAACCGATTGTCCTGATGGGGATAGCGGGCAGCTGCCCTCTGCCAGTCGGAATCTGAATTGTCCAGCTGTGTGGCATAGGCCCTGTACTGCTGCTTGCCACTGGAGGAGGGGCAGCTGGGGGGAGGCTCCAGGCAGGGCCGTGCTGGGAGGCTCTGGCATAGGAGGAAAGCTCTGGGCTGTGTAAGAAGAGCAGATAGTTTGGGGCCGTGGCTGGGCATGGTCCCAACACCTCCCTCCCTCCCCGCCTTGGCCTGGAGCGCAGAGCTACTGGCCCCTTTTCTCAACAGCCGCTGGCTGTGGGGTGAAGGCCGGACTCCCGCAGGCCGTGGTGTATGTGCAGGGCCCTCGGCCTAGCTCCACACCACAGCTGACTGCGCCCTGGCAAAAGAGCTCCCTTTTCCTCTGAAAGGCACTAATTGGGTTCTGAATCACGCTAGGCTGCTTTGATCTCTCAGCCATTTCCCACACAGCCTGCAACCGCCTCATCAGCGATTTCTAATGAGGGGGCCCGGCTGTCTCCTCCAGGCCCTCTTCCACCCCCCATCCCTGCCTATTAGGCACCAGTACAGCTGCCCGGCACCGCTTGGCAATGGGGCTGGGAGGTGAAGTCTGTATTTGTGCCTGGGCTGGGGGGGGACAGGCGCTCCAGCATGACTCCAGTGCCAGTGAGTGCAGAGGGGTGCCCCCTTCTGGCCAGGCAGCAGAGCGGCTGTACTGCCGTAGTGCCATCTGCCTGTGAGACTCGAACCCAAGCCCCTCGCAGGCAGCCCGTGGTGCCTTTGCTCCCTGCTGCCCTTTGGCGATGGCTGGAATCCTGCTAACAATTCTCATGGACAGGTTCAACCTGTCCTGCTGCGTGTGGTCATTGGAGATCCCCAGGAGTCAGGCTGTTACTGCCGGGCTCTGGGGCACAGGCCAACGGGGGTCATTACACTCCGCCTCCCTGAATCCCCCACCCCTTCCCTGGAGTCAGACCTGTGTGGTGGTCAAACACTGGTTCTGTTCCACCCCAGAGGAGACTGCAGATCAGCAGTGGGCACAGTCATTCCTGTGTGTAGGTAGGAACGGTGTGGCTGGACCTCTGCACCGCTGGGGCCTGGGCACCAGGATCCAGCCTCCTGGAGCAGTTTGCAGGATCTGCAGAGCACTTTGGGCAAAGAAGGGAGCGAGAGTGTGGATTGTTCTCATCTCTGCTCTTACCCTCCACACACCCCCAGCTCCCTGCTCCCCCAAAGGTGCCTTTGTTTCCAGCAGGGCTGTGCCCCCAGCCTGGGATGGGTGCCCCAGAGGGAGCCCTGCCATTACAAGGGGATGCTTCTGAACTTTTTGGTTTGACTGTCACTTCAGGAACGGAGCTGGTGGGGTTGACTGCTGGCAGCAGCCTGGGTGCTGGAGGACCACAGCGGTGGTGACCTGCGGTGCGGGTGAGGACAACGGAAGAGCAGGTGAGGGGCAAGTTGTGGGGCTGGGCGAAGCCCCTCCCTCAAAGCCCCACCATTTGCACCCCAGCGCCTTGCAGCAGAGGGTCCCGTGGGGGGTGGCCCGGCCCGGAGCAGAAGTGTTTTAGGGGAACTCCCTGCAGGTTGTTTCCTTTCACATATTTATTTAATCCATCTGGAAGCCAATAAAAACATCCTCGCCCCGGCGGCCTCGGTGACTCCAGCCTGGGGCCGCCAGCGCAGGACGCTGCCTGGGCCCAGGGGAGACAGCCCAGTTCCCCCGGGGGGCTGTGCGGGCAGACAGGGGGCGGGAATGGGCTGGAAACACGAGGGGAAGGAAGGGGGTTGGTCTGGCTTTTTAACACCCTCCAGAGCCTGAAAACCTCCCTTGAAAGGAGTGTGGGGGGGGGGGCAGGGCTGTATCTGAGCCCCCCCCCCAGGTGAGCTGAGCCCCCCGATTGCTGGGGATGGGGGGGTCTCAGGCTGCCCCCCACAGTCCGTCTGGCCCGAGCCCGCTTGGCCATGAGCAGCCCAGGCGCCAGGTGTGGCGGAGCCGGGCGGGCGCTAGGACCCGGGGCAGCCGCGTTCCTGTTGCAGCAGCCGCCGGTGCAAACACCCACTCCCCAGAAGCGGGGGAATCCTGGCCGCTGGTTTCCGAGAGGGCTTCCCCCGGCGAGCCCGGCCAGGTAAGCGAGCCTCCCCCTCCCCCCATGCAAGCGCGAGCCATGCCTACCAGCTGCTCCCCCCCCCCCGCGGGGCCTCGAGCCCAGAAAGTTGTGTCTGGGGGGAGGGGTGCGGCTCCTTGCACTTTGTCCGCGGGGGGGTCCGAGCTTGTCTCTGCAAACTGCCCCCCCCCCTTTGCAAACTCTCCGGCAGCCCCCGGGCTTGGGGGACTCGCCAACTGCTGCTGCGGGGAAGGAGAAGTGGGAGAGCTGGGGCGAGCCGCGGGGCCGGGCTCGGGGCGGGTTGGCCCCGCCGTCTGCACGGGCAGAGCCGGGGGAGGAGCGGATGGGAACTTTCCCCAAGTCCGGGGCCGGGGCCAGGCCGGCCCGTCTCCAGCCCTGTCCCGGGCTGACCAGCTCTCCATAGTCCCGGGGCCTGCTGCGAGGCTGGCATGGGGGCTGCAGGGCCCGGGGGGGGGGGCAGAGCCCTGAAGCCACGTGATGTTAGTTCCAGCTGCGGTCTGACAGCTGGATCTGCCCCCTCCCCCCAATGGCCCTGTCTGTACAACCGAGATTTCTGCTCGCAGCCGAGCCCGGAGACTTGGATCAAAGTTTCGCCGCTGCCGGGCTTCGGCTCCCCCGCCCCCCCCCGTTCCCCCTTGTGCAGCTGCTAAAACCCGCCTGCGAGCTCCACCCCAGAGGTGGTTGCATTTCAAGGTTGGCCGTGAGAGAGATTTCCAGCCAAATCTGGAAGGCTTGAAATGGGAGCTGGGTAATTCTGAGCTGGGCACAGGGGCAAAAACTTCAATTTTTCCAATTAATTCAAAAAGCCAAAGCAGGTTGTTGGGTTTTTTTTTGGGGGGGGGGGTGTTGAACCACAACATCGATTAAAGCCTGGAACAAAACTGCCAATGTCTGTGTGGCAGTGGCAGTGTTTGCTGCCCTCGGACTGAGAGCCAGGACGGCCCCGCTCCTGCCTGGGCGATGCACGCGCTGGCCTGGCGT